CCACGGGTTTTACTTAGCAAGGTTTTTAACGAGGCAGTCATTTACGTGTACTCCTATTACGTCAATTCAATAAAATCACATCTTTTGGGGCATTTGATATTTTTTTTAATTAAATTAAAAAAAAACAAGGGCCTGGGCCCAGGCCCGGCCCTGGCCCTTATGGACTAGGGCCAGGGCTTGGACCGGGCCTGAGTTTTTCTTCTCAGGCCCGGCCCAGGCACGACCCTGCACTGTGCAGGGCCGTGCCTAGCACGGCCCAAGCCCGTGATGGGCCTGGGGTCAAGCGTGCCGTGCCGACCCGGCACGGCACGTTTGACAACTCTAATTTTTCCTCATATTTACATTTAAATGGGTTTTGTTCTTAATGATTTTTATTTGTTTTACTCCATTTTTAGTTCAGTTTCGTTTTATTTTATTTATTTTATTTTATATTAGTTTATTATATTTTGATTTTATTTAGATCTCCCTCTAATAATTTTATTTATCTTTTTTGTGTGTTTAAATTAGGTGAAGAGAGCAATTTGGAGCTGAATTTGAAATAAAAAAAATGACTTAAAAAGCAACAAATGCCCAGAACAAGCTCTTTCCCCACTCGCGGGCATTTAGACACGTGCCACTCACCATTTCAGTCGTTAGATTCGCCTCTTGGACGAACCAGATCAGCGAGTAGCTTCTAATTCACTCCTGTGCGATCCCACGCTTCGCCCATCTATAAGCCGTTGCTTGTCCCAACATTCCTAGCACCCATTCACGTGTCATCATATGTCCATTCGTGTTAGAGGCCCTAATATTTTGATTCCCTTATGTTGACACCGACTTTGGATGCTTTTAAAAGCATTCTTTTCGACTACAATTTAGAGAGGGAGACCCTGTGTGTAGACTTGGCCTTCAACACGGAGCAGATACCCAAAATAATACAGAGCCCCATTGGAGTCTGGTATCGCTGTTGTTATGGGGTCTTTTATTGATATTGTTGTGTGGGAAAATGTGACGGACACATGGACGAACGATAATGCGACACGTGGCCTTGACTACTCTCCGCCAAGCAACAACCCTCGACGTTTACGGCTTCATCCTATTCTACTGGAAAGCCTAAAGCACGAAGTCCAAATTAGGGCGACGATTCCTTCTGGTGTCGACAGATCGCGCCGTCGAGATTAAGGCACGAAGATCCCTCGACCGCAGAAAGGACCGCCAAAGAGGGCGATTGGGCTAAGTAGCGCTGACGACGAGGGGAACGTTCTTTAGAGGACGTGACGGGTTGCGTACAAAAGTGAAAGACGTCTGCATGCATTAATTGCAAGCTTTCAAACCGCCCCACAGGGGACAGGAAAGTATTACGGAGAAGCACAGAGCCGTAATAAGAGACTAATTGGCTGAATGAACAGTGATGATTAGTGGGCTACGTCTGGGCCTATCAAGGAAGAGCATTTGAGTGCTCTCACCTATAAAGGAAGCCCAGTATAAAAGGAGGAAGACCCCCAGTAAGGAAGGGGTTCAGAGATTCCAGCCAAGAGAAAAGAGATTTAATGAGAGCAATTGTTATAAATTGTTATCTTCTCAAAAGAAATACAAAATCACAGTGGATGTAGCTCTCATTTTATAGAGTGAACCACTATAAAATTCCTTGTGTTGGTTGTCTATGCATGATTTAGTTAACACACAAACACACATATTCAACAAATCCTCATACGCTCACTACACACAGGCCGGTAATCCAAAGGGAAACCAAGAGGTAACCCGGTCGATTTTTGTTGGCGAAATTTGACCATCAACAATTGGTGACTCTGTTGGGGACCGAAAGCGTTCGACCCCCAACAACATAGTTATAAACTGCCATCCATCCAGGGAATAGCGGGATGGAAGAAGATCTACGCCCAGTCGGGAATGAAGTCCCACCTCCAGACGCACCACGGCCGGATCCGATCCAGATGCAGGCCCAACTAACCACTATAACCGAGCTGGTACGTGGGCTAATGATCGTGGTTGAGCGCTTAGATGGAAGGAACTCCATGCCGCCATTAGAAGACGCCCCGAGGCCGCAGGGACCTGCCATGGCAGAAAATTCGAACCACGATGACCACCCACATATCCAAGAGGGAACCGGAGATAGTGAGAATCACCGGGGCCCTCCTAGGCCTCGGCCTACCCAATCCTCTGGCAGCCATTTGGGGACCGTCGGAGTCCACGTCTCTACCACCGGTGTTTTTTCCTTGCACCTCTTTTTCCGTACAAGATCCGTCTCCAACCCCGAAGGGCCTTTGGTCTTCTTGCTCCTCGGAACGTGGGAAGAAGAGCTAGCTTTCTCCTTTCCCTTTGACGGGGGCTGTTGGCTCGGCGGGGGTTGTTGGTTTGACGGCGGCTGCTGGCTCGGCCCGGATTGCTGGCTACCAAGAAGTTGAATTCTCAGTGACGCCATCTCTGCGGAAACAACGAGACAAAGATATGATCAACGTTTGAAAAACAAGAACCGTAATAAGGGAAGGCGTTGAAAGCAGGAATTACCCTCGTCACTTAGGTGGAAGTATGCGCGGACGGCGTCTAGGTCCGAAGGGTTGGGGAGACCAAGGATTAAATCGGCGGCGCGAAGGTTGGCCTGGGTCAGGAGGGTATCTATGTGGCGAACCTCGGACGAGTACGAAAATGCCTCCTCGATTCTCGCCAAGCTGTTCCCAGAGAACTTCGGCCGGTCCTGGTTAACTGAAAAAGAAGAAAGATTGTCAGCAAACGAAGGAAAAGAAAGAGGCGAAGTGAGGTAAAAGAAAGCCGAGAGGCTTACCCATATTCCCAAACGCCGCCTGCACCTGCATTCGACGGGGCAGGCGATCGTTGGGATGAAAGTTGAAAGGCCCCCGAATCATGAAGAACATGGGCTTCCACCCGTGTAACGACGAGGGAATGCCCAGTATAAGCTTCCCAAATCTGGGCTGAGACCTCCCGTGACCACTCAAAAAATACCACCCCTCACACTTGGCGACGTGGCATAGCTTATACATATATCGGATTTCATCCAAAGGGAGTTCCATATCGAATTGCTGGTGCCATAAAATCCAGGCACCAGCGAAGCAGTACTAGAAGTTCAGCGCCAGCTAAGCGGGGGAAAGGCCATAAAAATGGCAGTAGTCCTTTACAAAGGGATGAACTGGGAGGATCATCCCCGCCGTAACCGCTCTAGTATAGACCGGGAGGTATCCGGTCGGCGGCATGCTGGTTCTAAAATGCATGTCCGGGAGAAGGTATTTGAACCACCTCCCGTCGATGCATCCTTCCTTCACAGCCCGGATGATATCTTTGTTCCGGACCCTCGACGCCACAACGTCGGCTGTAAAGAAAGGCCTATCCGGGTCACCACTCGTGGCAGCCAGAGGGGCATCTACCGTCGCGGCAGCAACCCCGCCTACGCTGCCCCCCGTGAAGGGGATCCGCTCAATTATCTCGTCCAAAAACCGTTTGACGCTACCGAATTCGCTTCTGAAGTCGTCGCCCGGTTCATATCTTTCTTCGACATCTTCAATGTCCCTCAGCACGGAGCCGACGCTGGAAGACGAAGAAGACCATGAGATATCCACCACAGAAGGGGGGTCTGGACGGACGACAGAAGAATCCTCTCGACTAGGGGAACTTTGGACCATTGTTCTGGTGATTAAAAAGACAAGAAGCTAAGTTGAAACCCTAACGTCGAGAGGAAGAAAGGATGGCTATTCTAAGCGACGACTACTCAAACGCCTCAACTTGACGTCGACTATTCATATGAGAATGGCAACGGTGAGTGCTCATAGAATTCCAGGTTCCCAAGAACCCAGAAACTAGAAGCGCACAGACAACAAAGAGATGGGGACAGAACTATCCAATGCGGAAAAACAAAACGGAGTAAGTCTCCCTAACTTCTACATTCCGCGCATTTTTTATATATATACACATGGTTCAAACAAAAAGGAGAGGAGGAGCCCGTGAATAAGAAAAGCAGACAGAGGGTGGAAAGGCTTACCGGTGAAGAAGGATTCCTGGGAAAGTGTTGAAGTAAGAACGGCTTCGCGATACGCCTCGAAGAGCAAGAAGCACGAACCGGAGGTTGGAGAGGAAGGATTCCGGTGAAAAAGGCAGCGGTCCAACAGGTGCGAAGAGAGTTTGAAGTCTTGAAAAAATGGCTCTTGAGTTCGTAGAGGGTATTTAAAGGAACAGACATCCTCGACCCTGACCGTTGGATGAAGATTTTAAAATCCAATGGCAAGGGAATCTTGCCCGGATCTTACGGTGATAAAATAGGGCGGGAAACGGAGAGGTTGCGATCCAAGGGTCCATATTCGTCCTTTCAAAATAAGGCCGTACATCATCATGAGAAATCAACTGACACGACAGTTGCGTCCCCCGAAGGAAATCCGAAGCGCCCAGGCCATCATTGCGGACGAAGGCTCGGGACCGGTTTCCCACACCCGAAGCACGGAAGGACAACCGAACCTAAGCTCGAGGCCGCCTAAAAGGAGCCCTCGACCTGGGGGGTAGCTGTTGTGTGGAAAAATGTGACGGACACATGGGCGAACGATAATGCGACACATGGCCTTGACTATTCTCCGCCAAGCAACAACCCTCGACGTCTACGGCTCCCTCCTATTCCGCTGGAAATCCCAAAGCATGAAGTCCAAATTAGGGCGACGATTCCTTCTGGCATCGATAGATCGTGCCGTCGAGATTAAGGTACGAAGATCCCTCGACTGCAGAAAGGACCGCCAAAGAGGGCGATTGGGCTAAGCAGCGCTGACGACGAGGGGAACGTTCTTTAGAGGACGTGACGGGTTGCATGCAAAAGTGAAAGACATCTGCAGGCATTAATTGCAAGCTCTCAAACCGCCCCACAGGGGACAGGAAAGTATTACGGAGAAGCACAGAGCCGTAATAGGAGACTAATTGGCTGAATGAACAGTGCTGATTAGTGGGCTACGTCTGGGCCTACTAAGGAAGAGCACTTGAGTGCTCCCACCTATGAAGGAAACCCCCTAAGCGAAGGAAGCCCAGTATAAAAGGAGGAAGACCCCCAGTAAGGAAGGGGTTCAGAGATTCCAGCCAAGAGAAAAGAGATTTAATGAGAGCAATTGTTGTAAATTGTTATCTTCTCAAAAGAAATACAAAATCACAGTGGATGTAGCTCTCATTTTATAGAGTGAACCACTATAAAATTCCTTGTGTTGGTTGTCTATGCATGATTTAGTTAACACACAAACACACATATTCAACAAATCCTCATACGTTCACTACACACAAGCCGGTAATCCAAAGGGAAACCAAGAGGTAACCCGGCCGATTTTTGTTGGTGAAATTTGACCGTCAACAGATATGGTTCGAGGGAGGGGCGGCGGGGGTTTTGTGAAGACTGGTATTCAAGATGGAGGCTTGACAGCTTTCTTTGGTGGGAAGAGTGTGAGGTTTTTGGCAAATATGTGACGCAAGAAACATCGTTCAGGTTGTTTTTACATTCAGCTTTATTAGTGGTGGTCACGCTTCTGTTGTGACGGCTCTGTTCAGATTCGGTTTTTTTGTTTTTGTTTTGTACTTCTATACAATGGTTGTTAGCTTGTTGTCGTCATCTCTTGCATATGGCTGAGGCTATTCATAGTTTTTATACTGTTTTATTAATTTTAAAAAGACGTTATTTTCGTCAAATTTATGTATTGTTAATAACGGAGGTGGTTTCTCTACATTTTAATTTTGTTTATGAGTCCCACTCATCTGTGACGGTGTGTGTGTGTTTATTTACGCCTAGATTGTTTTTAGACTATGTCGCTTGTGTCTGAAGTATTAAGGGTTTGGTCTTAGCCGACTGGTTTTATCCATCGTCTGTAGTAATTTTTATTAATGAACTTTGATCATGCTCGATTTTGTTTGTGCCGAGTAGTTTTTTTCCAATTAGGTATTGACACTTGTGTTCGTTCTTGTGCTTCATTCATCTTCATTGGTAGATGCAGTTAATGTCCAGAGTCTAATTTACATGTAGTTTGTGATCATTTGCAACTATTTATGTAATTTGTTAATTTAGTAATATGAAATTTTCCCTCAAAAAAATTATATCTGGTATTTGGTTTGAAACAGTTTGGTTATGAATTGTGGCCATATACATGAACATGCATGTGTGTGCGCGTGGAGAAGAGTAAAAATGGTAAGTGACAAACATGCCAACTTTGCATTCCTGAACAAAACTAGAGGGAGATTTGTAGGGTAGAAGATAAGGGCTAAATCCCATCTCATCTCATCATAAAAAAGAAGAGTCGCATTGAGAAAATGGAAAGTGGGGCAAGTCCTGCTTTACGGGAAAGGAAGAGCATTAGCAGAAAAACTAACATAATGTCCCCGCAATAAAAGTAACGACCAATTTTTATGTCTATCTTTAATAATATTCCAAAATATCATTTAAGGGAATGGATCCATAGCCTTTGGAGGCTTTCAGTGTCTTACAATTTTATCAATAATTCATCTTTGCCTTGTTTTAAAGATGATGAAAGTGACATATATGTCAACTCCTCGACCAAATTGTTCCTGTTCCAATTTTTGGAGGTTTCTAATTAGAATCTGATTTTCTTTAGAGACCAAAAATTCTATTAGATTTTTGGTTTTGCAACCTCACTGTCAAATATCAGGATTTAGTTAGAATTTTGATGAGCGGAATTGGGAAAATCAAGTCAAAGCTATGGCTAACGGGAAAACCCTCAAAATTAAAGAGAAAATAAAACTTTTTGATATCTCAATAAATATTAAAGTCTATCTATTACAATAACTAATAAAGATATTTATAACCCTCAATCCAAATGATAACAAAAATAAATACTAAATGACACACAGCATCCTAAACAAGTAACAAATTAATCAATGTTAAATTGATAAGCAAATACAAACGGTAATGCAAATATAAAAACGATTACTAATCCTTCTACCAAATTTGGTTCAAGGAAATTTTAATATTACTAGCTATACAATATTACTAAACTCAATTAAATGGCATTTTATACAGGAAAGAAGGTAATGATTCTTGAACAGCTTCTTAGGACTGCAATTAAATGGCATTTTACATTTATATTTTACTTTGGTAACTATATTTGTTAGCTGTCAAAAGTTGATAGCTTTTGAAAACTTAAATCTGTATCAGAATCTCATGTTGTACTGGCTTTATTTTGTTTAGAAAAATGCTTATATGATCCAAATTATTTGTGCTTTGTATGTGTATATACATATATATATATTTACAAAATACACATATATGTATATATTCTTACTGTGAAACTAAGGAGAACAATTAATATATAACGTGCAAAAATAAGCATATACCGAAGAACATCCCAAAACAGCCGAAGAATAATATATGAGGGTTTGGCCCTCGTTTTCTCCGTCCAAACTATGGAACACTCATAACTTGTTGAAATGATAGTGATTTCTCATCGCAAGTTTAAAATATAAAATTAAAGTAGTCACTTTCCTAGCTTCAAGATGATCAGTTCAAGAATGGAATAATTTAATCTACATGGTTATTATCATACTGAAGACTAAGAAACCTAGAGAGAACTTTGTGTGAATTCGAAACTACAGTTAGTTATGAGGGGGTAGGTGGGAATATGACATTGTTCATGGATCATCAATTAGTGGAATGTAATATTAATTGTTATTACGTGTGTATTTGGCACATCAATTATTTGAATCTTTTTCACTATTAACAAGTTACATCTAAGTTTTTGGTTTTAGTAAATTACTGTTGAACTTAACAGAGTAAGGTACAACGCCCTTAATCGAAATCAAAGACAAGTACTGTTAAATTTATTAGATGAATACCCTCGTAGATATCATGTTAACTCATTTGAAGGAATGAACTGAAATTTCATATGATAATTAGGGAGAAAAGATATTATATTAAGATTTTTTTTTTTTTTTTTTAATTTAAGCACTATCCATCGACTTAGGGAATCATAATTAAAAATTCAGGGACACCTTGCAAGGTTAGAGAGCAAAAGCAACAAAATCTCTTACAATATTTGAATTTATATTGTTTTCTGTTACTTTGCTAGAGAGTAGATTTTTCCCCTAAAAAAAGGCTAAATTGAAACATAAATAAATAACTTCCAACTAGCTGAGAGAGTCCGTCCAAAACAGGGAGATACACTGTGCGTCTGAGAGAGACAAAATGAAGAACAAGATGGCGATAAATCTGATGCCATGAACGTTATAATTTATAATCTGGTGAGTTATATATATATCTTTCTTCCAAGTCCACTTGCTACTCTACTCTAAGTGCCAACACCATTTCCATTTCGAACTTAAACGTTCCCCCTTATAGCAGCTCCTTTGTCTAGCTTCTCAAAATCTCTGATCTCATGGTAAGATCAAGCCAACAAACTCTCTCTCTCTCTCTCCCTCTATATATATATATATATATATACATATCTCTGTGTGTGTGTGTTTTCTACATGTTCTTGTTTATATTGTCACTTGCTTCACAGGGGGAAGAGGAGGGCAAAGCAACTTTCTATGACAAGCTCAAGAGGATCAATGAAGCTTTGTCCCCAAAAAAAGGCGGTTTCAATGCTTGCAAATTCATCTTTGGTAAGCAAACTTACAATTAATGATTGTTATTATATGTATGGCTTTTAGTTAATTTTCAAGATATATGTTAAAAATAATCTGATAATATATTCATATATGTATATATGTTTCCTTAATTTCCTTTACTTGTATCATGTGTACTAATATATATTGTTGTACGAGTACAGTATTGGCTGCATTTGAGAACATGGGTTTCGTGGCCAACATGGTGAGCTTTGTCGTCTACTTCATGTCAATAATGTTCTTCAAATACCACACAGCCGCCAACACTCTGACCAACTTCATGGGAACTACTTTCTTGCTCTCCCTCCTTGGTGGCTTCATCTCAGACACTTACTTAAGCAGATTCACCACTTGTCTGATTTTTGGATCACTTGAAATAGTTGTACGTATATATATGTGTGTATACATACAAAAATCCCCAATATATACATATATATATATTTCTATTAATGCAAAATAAAGTTTCATAGTAAGTGTACTTAAGACCATATATCTCGTGTATAGGCTCTAGTGCTAATGACCATCCAAGCAGCCACACACAGTTTACAGCCAGAGTTTTGTGTCAAGTCTAGTTGTATCCAAGGTGGTGTGAAAGTCATGTTCTACTTCTCCTTGTACCTCTTGGCGTTGGGTTCCGGCGGTGTTAGGGGAGCACTTCCAGCGCTTGGGGCCGACCAGTTTGATCGAAAAGATCCGAAGGAAGCTAAGGCTCTTGCCACCTTCTTCAATTGGTTCTTACTTAGTGTCACACTTGGGGCTTCTGTGGGAGTCACGGCCATTGTGTATTATAGCACTACCGTGTCTTGGTATAAGGGATTTATTGTCTCAACTATAGCTGCCTTTTTAGGTTTTGTTGTTCTTGCTCTGGGCAAGCCATACTATCGTCTCCAAACTCCGGAGAGTCCTATCTTAAAGATCATTCAGGTTTATTTTCTATCTCGTTGATCTCATATAAACTCACATCTTACTTATATAAGACGTCTTATACATACATATAGAAATGAAGAATGATGAAAATTACATATGACAGACCGTCAGAATTGATGTGTAAATATGTGATTAGTTAAAAGTCGATGACTATTGTTTTTGTGTGCTTTGTTTGTAAAGGTTATCTATGTGGCAAGTAAGAACCGGGGCTTGTCACTGCCGGAGGATCCTAGAGAACTGTATGAGATCAGCGACAAAGATCCAGTAGCAGCAGAAGATAAAATTGCACACACGAATGAATTCAGGTGAAATTAATTACTCAACATATATAGATATTCCACATGCTAGCTATATGATTCAAATGATTGGTGATGATCACTCGTGCATGAGTTTATAATGATCAAATATATATCAGGTCACAGCAGGTCATGATTTTGAATTTTCTGTCGGCAGACTTGACATTGTACAGTTAAAGAGTGAAATTTGTTTAAAAGAAAACAAATTTATAAAAGTCCATAAACCGACGGAAAATGTAAAAGCTGGACATTTTACTCATGCATGTCATTAAGTTTACTCGTTATAAGCATTAAATTTTGCAAGTTGTAACAGTAAACTTTTCATTTTAAAATAATGTGAAAATTATAATATTATGATGGTTAAATAAAAAATCAACGCACCCATTATTAATAGTAAAATGTAAAAATTTACTATATATCATGTTCGGGTTAAATTTGAATATATGTCAAATTAGCACTAAAAAAGTAGTACCGTATTTAACAGTGATTTTTGTAGAGAGATGCTAAATTTTGACATAGACACACTAATTTAAGTCTCGTTCGCTTTGTGAATTTAAATTTTCAATTTAAGTTGAGATATGACATTTTCTGAGAACTTTTAATTGTAATTGAAAAAGTTAGATGTGACATTTTTTAAGAGTTTTTAACTATAAAAATCTAAAACTGAAAATTCAAATCGATAAAATGAACGATACCTTAACATTTTTGTAAATACTTGAGTTGCGTGTAAGTTCACAAAAAAGTATAGACACTTTGATTTGAAACTAGAAGCAAATCATACATATTAGAATTATTTTCATAAATATCTTTTAAAATATGTACTTTATTTCAAAATACCTCTAATTTTTTAAAATAATTTAATACAACTCGATCTATAAAAAGTGATTCAAAATACCCCTCTGTTTAATTTTGTCTATAATCCTAACAGATTTGGTGAGTATAAAACCATTCAACTGTAATTAAATATATATAATTGATTATATAATAAAAGCAATTAATAACTTATTTCAAAAATATTTAAAAAAACCCCAAAAAAAGTTTTCTTCTTCTTCATCTTATACTTGCAGACTCAGCAGACCCATTTCACTATCTCTTTTGTGAAAATTTCCAAACCCTACTTTAACGTTTTCTTTTTCTTTTCTTTTGAGATGCAAAGAATGCTCTCTCTCTCTCTCTCTCTCATTCTCTTCTTCGAGATTTTCTCTTTTTGTTAGATTTTGGACATGGGCTTAGCTGCTACATCACTAAAAATTGTTAAGAATATAAACAAAATTAGACAGAGTGGATATTTTGAATAATTTTCTATAGTTTTGAACCGTTTTGAACCAATTAGAGAGCACTTTAAAAGAGACTACATATTTCTGACAGCATTTATGAAAATAATCTTACATATTATGCCATGCCTGTTATAGTTTAGACATTTCAAAAGCTCCAACTCATAAATATACAATATTATACAAATACAATGCACGTGCAGGCTTCTAGACAAAGCTGCCATACTTCCTCAAAACACAGAGCCACTTCCATGGAAGGTGTGCACAGTCACGCAAGTTGAAGAAGTGAAGGTCCTAACAAGAATGTTGCCAATCTTGGCCAGCACAATCCTAATGAACACTTGCATGGCCCAACTCCAAACTTTCTCCGTCCAACAAGGTGCCACAGTCATGGACCGCAAATTGGGCTCCATGGAAATCCCGGCCCCATCAGTGCCCATAATCCCCTTGCTCTTCATGTCAGTCCTCATAGTAATCTACGAGTACCTCTTTGTCCCTTTCGCCAGAAAAATTACCAAACACCCCTCGGGCATAACCCAACTCCAAAGGGTCGGTGTTGGGCTTGTGCTCTCGGCCCTCTCAATGGCCGTGGCTGGGCTTGTTGAACACAAGAGATTGAAATTGGCCCATGAAAGCCCACCAAAGACCATAAGCATAATGTGGCTGTCGTTTCAATATGGCATCTTTGGGATTGCTGACATGTTCACTTTAGTGGGGCTGTTGGAATTCTTCTACAAAGAAGCCCCAGCTGGGATGAGGTCGCTTTCGACGTCGTTTACTTGGCTGACGTTGTCGTTTGGTTACTTCTTGAGCACGATCTTTGTGGACATCATAAATGCCGTGACCAAAAGAGTAACTCCTAGCAAAAAAGGCTGGCTAAGTGGGCAAACCATAAACGACAGCAATTTGCATTTGTTTTATTGGTTTTTAGCCATCCTTAGCTGCCTCAATTTCTTGCTCTACGTTTGGTCTGCCATGTGTTACAAGTACAAATCTGAGGAGAGACAGGAGCCAAATTATGATAAGTTGACTAGTGCCGCCGAAACGAGGTCGTTTAGGGATGACAACACTCAAAACAGTGTAGCGCCTATGCTCACCGGTGGACCCACTGCGGGCACTTCTGATTAAACCGCAGAGAAGTTAAAAAAATATCAGTTATTCGCTCCCATCACGAGGGAAAAAATGATTAAGCGAAAAAGACAATTGTTTTGATCTAATCATACGTTGCAGGAACTGTTCCACATGGGACCAATGTTTGCTTTGGGTATTGATCTGTAAGGGTTGAGCTTAGAATCATGTAGCATTAGTGTTGGTTTCTTGAACGTTTGTTTATGCTTAATTATGACGTATTAATAATAAAGAGAAATGGGGCAGCCGGCTAGCTACTATTAAAGTTAAAAAATTGTTGCTTGAGCTCAATCTTTTTCCAATTGACGTTCTTTTCTTTCTTTGTTTTTTTTAGAATCTTTTATAGGATAAAGAAAAAAATTATTGATAAATACAATTCGAAACCATCAAAATTTCTCCAAATACTATTAATTAACTAAAAAGAATACATTATTTTAATTGAATTTGATAATGACATGGTTTAACAGCTGATTCATAGATTAAAATTATGAGATTAGAATTATTTTTAATTTATGTGTATTTTTTATAAAAAAAATACTGTAGTGAACCATGAATCATAATTCGAATCAGAAAATAAATTCTCCAACCAAACGGGCTCAGATTTCCTTTATCTTTATTTTTGTCTTTAGAGTCAAAAGAAAATTCTCTCTTTTTTTATTATGTGTCAACTTCTCCTTTGTTCTTTCGTGTTTTTTTTTTTTTTAAATCTTCATGTTTTATTTTTTGTATATCACATATTCTAATTCTTTTAACTTTTTCTTTTTTTCTTATTTTTTTCCTTGCTTTCCTTTTCTCTTTTTTTTTTTTTCTCCAAGCTCCTATACAGCTTATTTTTTATGATGTGTTTTTTCAAAATACTTTTCTCCCTAATTTATTTATGTTAATATGATATGATTTCAAAAAAAAAAAATTATATGGGGACATAAATGAGAAGAAATTACTCAAATACATATTTTTATACATACCTAAATAAATAATCATCATATATATAACAACAATTCGTTTTTCAATGGATATCTCCTTTTTTTGTTTTTTTGTTTTTTTTTTGCTTTTTTACTTAAGTGTTTAGTCCTTAACATCACTTTTCAAGTGAACCTTATTAAACATTTTTTCCTAATCTACCCATGTTAAAATAAATTATCTCAAATGTGTAATTACCGAAACATTTTTCCTTGCAGTCATTTTTTTCTTTTAAAAGTAACCCTTGTAATTGTTTCTCTCTAATTGCTCTTCTCAAATAATTTTTTTCTCAGATGTGTCCATTGTTGAATCTTTAAATCCTTGTTCCACATTTCAGGAATCATCACACCAAATTACTAAGAAAATAAGTTAGAACTCTGACATGTTTCCATTGATGCAGCCTTAAATCTCCTGTGGAATTCTCTAAGACAACGAGCACGACGGTTATTGCCTTCCTCAGTCAAATCTCCTTAGTTCCTTAATGGGGTGTTTTCTCTCTAGATAGGGAAGAATGAAAACTATTTTATGATTTGATGTATTGGGGACCATAACCTAAGTTTCTTTATATATTACCCCATTAGGCTCCCATTAAACCTAATTGGGTCAATATGAGTATCCACCCCATTCAGCCCAAACCCAGTTAGGAGACTATATCGGGCTTTTCCTAATTAGATCACTTAATTAGCCCAATTAATTAAATAGCTTAATATAATTGTTACAAATATGTGGCCCATAATTATAAATAGGAAACATAGGGCCTATTTGTTTGTGTTTTCATTTTCATTTTTCACGGTTTTCAAAGCAAAAAAATGAAAACAGGTGTTAAAAATGTGTTTGGTGTAAATTTTTTTAAAAAACAAAACCAAAAACGTTTTTGTCTTTTTGTGGAAATCAGAAAACGAAAAAAAAGTGTTTTCATTTTCTCGTTTTCGTTTTCTGTTTTCTGAAAACGGATTTCACTTCTTTTTTTTTTCATTTTCTTCCCTCTTTTCTGAAACCGTTTTTGTATTATATATGTTTATTTAATATATTTATTTAATATATTATTATTTAATATATTTAATAAT